ATCAAAGCACAACATAACGTATATACGAACATATAATTATAACACAAGATAAAGCTTAATTTAGCTCTCAATGAGAGCTTGATTTGATGTCTTTAGCTTGACACAGTCAAATCACACCTAAGGTTTTCTCTAGGATCAGATTGTCTTTCTAATAATTTACTTTTAATCTTTTGGTAATTGCATTGCCGTGGAGGCTTTCCTAAATTATCAAATTATCAAATTTCAATCTAATTTCAATCTATTTTTTTTTTTTTTTATGAATATATGTATTCTTCTCTAAACCCTTATTCAATATTTCTTATAATTTGTTAATCTCTATTTTACAACAATCTTTCATGAGATATATCGGGGGATTAATTTTATTATAAATTCTAAAAGTGATTTTTTAATCTTATGCTTTTATAGTTAACTCTCATTTTGTAAATCATTATTTGCTCTTCGTGTTTTCAAGAAATAATCTTCTTAAAATTATTGAGATTTCAACATCTTCCCCCATATCAAAAATAATAAAATTAGCAGGGAATATGAATGTACTAACCTTAACTAACATATTTTCAATTATTCATCTAGGATATGTTATTAATTGATCAGCTAACTAAAGGGTAATAATTATTTCTTGAAGTTCTACTAATTCCAATCTTTTTAATATTAATATGGGCATAAGATTGATATTAGCTTCTAAGTCTAAGAAAACTTTTCCAAAAAAATCTGTCATAGAAAGCTTTTTCCAAAAAAATCCATGCATAGAATAGTAAAACTACAAAAATTCTTTCAGGTTTTGGGGTAGCTTTGTGCACTCTTTATTTTGAGATACAATTTCAAGTTCTCTTAGCTTTCATTTTTATTTAAATTATCTTTTAGTGGTAAAAAATTTTCAGGTTGTCTCTGCTCCAGACGTGGGGTGCTTCTTTTCTTTTGTAAGTCCGTAGTTCATAAACTCCACAAGCAACTTGTTAGTGATGAATGGTTTAGTCATTGTCTGATCGAGCTTCTCTTTGACTTGGCCTTATTTGACTAGGTCGACCCTTTTCAGTAATGATGAATAGTGAAGGTCTTTTCTCTGACAAGCATGTTGTAATTCTAGTTGGTTCTTTTCTTGAACCCCTTCTGTCTGAGAGTTGATTCAGAGTGCCTTTTTTATGTGGTATCGAGCGCAAGATTCATCCATTCCTAGCTGATGTTTTGCCCCTCGAGTTGAAGCTCTCTTTGTCGAATGTAGAGGCTGAAATCTCAGTCCTTCACCTTATTTTCAAGCCTTTGAAGGTGAAATTGGCTCACGGACAAGAGCTAAACATATCTACGTAGATACGTTTGGAAGGCAAATAAGTAGTTGAAGGGCTCCATCAATCATATACTCTTCATCCGATGAGCAAAGATTACAAAGGTCATCACAACTGTGATAGAATTTTGCATCATCTATGTCGAAATAATCCTTTAGAAGTCAAATATGCAGCACAACTTCTTACATAATGGGAGTCAGATTCCTAGTCGAAATTGATCCCTATAAATCAACAACTCAAATTATTAATGGAGTTTTCTCTCTCGTCTTGACCGGTGGCACGAAGGCTGACAGAAGAATTAAAGACAACTCTTTTGATACTCCATGACCTCATTCTTGGTCATTGGAGAATAGAGGCAAGGAGCCATGTTACGAGCCAAAAATAATATGAACATGGAAGAAGATAACAAAGTAAATGTGTTTGTTGCCATCACAACTCTTTTTATAGAGGCAGGAAGGACCCTAACCGTCTCAAGTAGGGGTAAAATAGAAAAAGAATTAGAAGTTCTAGAAATCAATCAACGATAAACAACGATATGAAAACCATAGAGTCGAGTGAAATGTATTTTTAACTAAAATGAAAACTATTACAATAAGCTTTCACCTCAACTCAATTTGAAGGAAAAAACGAGCCTATACAGGGGTTCGAAGCAATCTCAGCCGAGACATGACCCAACCAAATGAGCCTTTAAAAAAAAAATTGCTCCTCAATTTAAGATGACCTAACCTACTGGATTAGGCTAGAGCTTGAGAGATTCAGAGCCCCTGGCACATCCATGGGTTCTCGATGGGGGCTAGCCGTTATTTTCTTCATCACAACAATCTTTTCTTTCAATCTCGCCACGCGAGACAATAAGGAACTTATTTCCGAATTTTATTATGTCAGCCTCACATGAGAAAGAACATTCGATCTCATTCAGGTGATGAGCCAGTATATCACGATCCTCCCGAATCCCCTCAGCAGTGTCCTTACGTGCCTCTGAAGGGGTGGAAGATCTTCAGGACGATCAAATCCCCCATTGTGGCTGCCAAGCCTACCATCTCTTTCCGCCATCGTTTCACACCTCCTACCAAAATAGTCAGAGCCTTGTCCAAGCTTGGCCGATCTAGATCGTCTGCAATATCAGGAAAAAAACTCAATACTTAAGCACGACAAAGAGTGCCATCAATTGGTCAGGAAAACAAAATACCTAAAGCCCTTAATATCTCAGACAACGTCGGCTTTTACGGATGAGATTTCTATGAAAATAGAGGAACTTAGGTGCTCAGTTTAAGCTTCCGACTTTTTGACAAACCAGGCATCATGGCTATGGTTCAAACAGTTGGGCTTTCAGTCGTGGCAACCAATTCAACATCTTTTGGAGCTGCATTGGAAGAACCCATGTGACCCGAAGGCGAGACTATCTTCTCTTCATTGCTACATTCTTCTTTTTTGCTCGACCTCACGAAAATTTTTGCCTCTCTTTCGAGAGTAACTCCCGGATCAAAACCTTATTCGGGATATCAGTTTGGGACCTTATAAGCTTATCGATCATAATAATCTCTTACGGAGCAGAGAAATAACCAATGAAGAAAAGGTAGGGCAGAAGTTTGTACGGAGCAGGGAAGGATAGCACGAGATGGGTAAGCTTAGAAAGATGTCTATGTTCTATTTATAACAATCAATAACGTAGAAATTGAGGGAGTTTTAATCATTGAAGTTATTTGATGATAACTAACAATTTATTATATTTAATTCTCTCATTTTTATTGTAGCATGATCTACTAACGTATGAAAGAATCAACGAACTGAAATATGTAAAATAAAAATGTCCTTGACCGGATCTCCCATGGATCTAATGGTTCGGAGCGCAAGTGTCTACGAGAATAGTTAAAAGTACCTGGAGGACGACCAAACAATAATAGCCAACCTGTTAAAGATTGGTCGAGTAGCTAACTAGAGGCTGATTGACCCAGATGACGACCACCCGAGAATTGCCAAGATAGAGATCGATCGGTCGGAAGGCGACCAACCATAGGCCCACCAACCGAATGTCACTGATTGGTTAAGGAGGGTTATGGTTGTAATTGTCATTTTATAATATTCCTAGCCCCCTATAAGTATAAGGGCATTAAATGTATCAGTTGTTGTTGAAACTATATACTAAAATACTTCATCTCTCATACTCTTTGTATGTTTCTCTCTTCTTACCGCACTTTATTACTTGGATGTGATTCACAGACAAATCTGAGTTCAACAACTATATCTCCCAAGTCATCATTGACAACCTACAGTAAATTCTACCAACACTCAACATAAACCAAAAAGAATGGTAGATATTTCATAAGAGTTTGGTAGGACATTTTTTTTATTGCTCCCTCACCTGCAAAGTTGTGCCTGTTAACATCAAACTTTAGACAAAATTATATTTTCATGATTAAAATTGCCAGTAAATCTTGCATGCTACTTCTAGAATTTATCAATTCATTCCATTTCCTTTGCGTGGTGACAAAAAAGGGAACTCTAGAGAATTCTAAATATTTTCCAAATGTCAAAGAAACTTGAACAAAGACATGCACTTATGGATCTCTATATTTAGTCATGTGATGGCACGATATTTAAAGTTCATTTATGATTGCCTATCAGAAGATATTTGTTTCTCAAAAGGAGGTAGGTAGGTACCTATTGGATGAACAAAGAACCGTTAGTTAATTTGCCTGTGTGCATGCAGAAACAGCTGCTCTCTTCCTATAGGGTGACTGCATGCATTCACTTATTGGATCTCTATCTGTATGTATGCTTGTAGTATGTATGTGTGTATGTATGTATTGATCTCTATCTGTATGTATGCTTGTAGTATGTATGTATGTATGTATGTATGTATCATTAATAATGTAAGATTTTATCAACATAACATATTCTTCTTTCCTCAATTCATTGTTTGATTTGATGAAAAGTTTGACAATGCATTGCATATCTACAATAATTTTTCTCTTGTTTGATTTAAAACAAATTCAGTAAAGTTATATATAAGTTCATAGTTCTACCAACCATTAATCTGTTCTGAAGAATTATTCAGAAATTTGCATATCATTACTGCCATGTGCATCGAGTTATATATCAAATATCCGCCGAATTTTCATGATATAATACTCATCATGAAACCATTTCAATCCATGGAGAAAAAAAACACAATCAATTAAATCATATAAATTTTGTAGAAATTTATTTTAAATTCTGCCTAAAAAGGAGAACTAGATAAAACCTGCTTTTGACAAATCTGTTCTCTGTCTAAATCCTCAATACAAAAATATCTCATAATCTCCACATTTTCACAGCCACAAAAGCCCACCTAGGCTCATTATTCTAGTGAAGACTCCTTTCTTTCTTGCTAGATGCCGAACTCCTATTTGTATGCTATTCCCAGCCGAAAAGGTCTTGCTTCCACCCACCATTAATGCTGCATAATTAATTCCATCCCCACTATCTCTTTATTTAATCTTGGGGGAGATACCATCAGATATTATGTCTCCAACCTCCATTAATTTCCTTCCCTCTCACTATAAGTATACCCCCTTTACCAACTCATTCATGGTAGCTCTCAAAAATCACAACTTTGACACCCTCAAGTAATCTCTCTCTCTACTCCCTTGCTTACTCAATGAAGCTTCAAAGGCTAACCATGGAGATGGCAACTTTGATTCTAGTTATAACAATAATTTTTATGCCCTGTTGTAGCAGTAGATTGCTCATCTCTATGCAAGAAAGGCACCAGGATGACGTGAGCAAGGCTTCTCCGAAAGAAAGAGATCAAACAGAAACAGTAGCAGGCGAAGCGTCGAGCGACGACGATGCTGAGCCAACTGATGTGAGCAACCATCACAGTTTGCCTCGACAGTCTTTTGGTGATTGGGGAAATGACCCACACCAGAATGAGGAAAAGAGTAGCAATGGAACCAATGATGAGAAGAAGAACTAGAGAAAGTTTTGATATGAGCATTGATTGCCAAATCTATATAATTTCATGGTTGTTAAGATTTAGCATATTAAAGCTTGTTTTATGTGGCAGTCTTTATTTGTTTGAGTGTTTTTTTGTCAATTAAGCATTTAGCTGTGTATGGTTAGGAAGCATCAGAGGTGAAGAGGGCACGAAGTAATGTAATTAACATTTAATTATGCATGTTTTAAATGGTTTTCATTGTCGTCGTCATTAACATTTAATTATGCATGTTTTAAATGGTTTTCGTTGTCGTCGTCGTCGTCGTTGTTGTTGTTGTTATTGTTTCGAATTGAATGACTATTGACCTCTATGGGAAACAATTGGATTGGGACAACATGATCAAAGTTCAAGTCAGTCTAAGCTTAAATGCTATTATATTTACTAAAAAAGACACATTATATATATATATTTTTAATTACTTATTCATAAATTACATTTATAAAAAATGAATTCAATAATTTAAAATTTATAATAATTAAATTTTGATATTCTGATTTTTTTTTTCATCCTTGCAGAAGATCCACTCATAATCTGATGCTCGTAAATGTATTTTGGAAAAGCAGCATCTTTAGATTAAATCCAGCCACGATATTTCCCCATATTGTCGATGGGATTTTTTGAACTAAAACAAAAATAAAAAAATCGATGGGATTTTTTGAACTAAAACAAAAATAAAAAATAAAAATAAAAAAAAAAAAATCAATTGTAGGCCAATATAAAAATAACAAAAAAGGTTAGAATTAATTAATCCTAATTATCTTTGTCAAAATATATTATAATAAGATCGTGCGGCACCGCAACACACTTTTATTTGTTTGAGTAAATTGGGTTTGATAGTTTTTTCAAAAAACAGCTGTTGAAACATGTGTTTTTCCACCACTCCTGATTATGTGCAGTGTCAACTTTCTAGCTGCGGTATGATTTAAAAAAAATTGTAATATCCAACGTAATTTTTTGAATATCAGACTAATATTCAACAGTTTCACAGCTACTTTTTAATAATCTATAACTCCTTCGAGTAAACCCCATAGTTGAATCCTCATAAATCCTTAAAAGCACTCAGAAAATTTAAGTTTTAATCATATGTTTAGTAATATAGATACAATTATAATATTAAAAAAATTATTATTAAAAATAATATGGGTAATATCATTTTTAAACATATTTCTTGCAATACCAATTTCTTAAAGAGTGTAATTATTCCTTCGTGACTAGATTTATAATTGGCTTTAGATATATAGTATTAAGTTGTAATTTAATAAGGAATCATCATTAAGAATCTTAATTATGAAATTAGTAAAGTTTGATTATAAGAGAGATAAATAACTAAAGATATTTTCTTAATGTTGATTTTAATTTTTTTTAATTATTATTTTAAATAGTTAATTTGGGGCCATGAATAGATTAGTATACTCTAATATGATGAGTTTTAATCTTATATTTTTAATTTCTAGTTCATCATATATACAATAAGGATCGGAATACCATCGTTGGGAATATATATACAAATTGAAAGATTATGTCAATACGTATAAGAAAATTAATTTTAAAACCAGTAATAACAGAAATATAATATAATTACATAATTATTAAGAAGTGTGTTGGATCTAAGTCTCTCATGTGAATCACATTCAAAGAATAAAACATGGTACGTGAGAGAGAGATTGTACATAGTAACGAACAATAGAATGAGGGAATTCTTTAATCATTTATCTGTGAAGTGATTCTCTATTTATAGACAAAAGGGGGACAATATATGAAGTTTCTTTTATGCCCTACTTAAGTAGGGATGATGTTGTGGATATGGAAACCGGTCCACTGCTCAAATTGACATTTTCTCATGTTTGGCAGCAAATTGGATTTGATAGTCGAAATTAATTGCTCTTAATTCGTTCTATGATTTGCTGCAGGAGAGAAAAGGAAATAATTAATGGGCTTCATTAATTATTTGATTAATTCCTTAATGGGCCTAATGGCATAATGAAATTAATAAATATGCATGTTAGCTTCCCTTGTAATCTCTCTCGGGATTTGGTTTTCCAGACATCCCTTTTTCAGCATTGGTAGCTTTCCAGGTTTTTCATCCTTCTTCTGGTGCGCTTCAGTTTGAAGCTCTCGGGTAGAGAGAGAGAGAGAAGAAGAGGAGGAGAGGACAGAGAAAGAGATAGAGAGAATGAGAGTTTTCTTGTAATCGTCGAGGTGATCGACGGGCGTAATTCCTCAAACTAATAAAATCTTCGGTAGCTCCGTGGACGTAGACAATTTGCTGAACCATGTAAATCTTTGTGTTTTCGCTGTGCTTTTCTGTTTTGTGTTTTTCTCGATCTAATTTTTCATTTTATTGTCATTGTTTTTCACAACAGATGATACCTGTTATTTTAAATATTTTACCCTTGTGGGCCCAGTACATTACTGCTTTTTGGCTTGGTCTGCTAGACTAAGTAGGGCTTCAACGGGTTTTGTCAGTCGGTTGGATCTGGCAGCAACTCCGGTAGAATAAATACCTAATTGTTGTTCGGCTCATTGGTCGCAAATCGATGGAACTGATCTAGTTAGCTGAATTTTGTGGATCGATATACATGGTCTTGTCGTTGACACTCGACGGACCGATCTCTACCAAAGCAAAAAATTTTCTGTGTGAACTCCTGACGTAGCTCTACGTGCGGATGAAGTTATTTCTGAGTTATTTTCAGGTTATTTCTGGGTTATTTTCAATAATACCGAAATAACCCAAAAATAAAGACCGCGGGTTATTTCTGGGTTATTTTGGTATTATTGAAAATAACTCAGTAATAACCTAAAAATAAGTCAAGAATAACATATGCCGCACATAGAGCTACATCAGGAGTTCAGACACAAAAAGTGCTTCTACCAAAGAGCTTCGGTGGACAGGATGAAGCAGGTAATTTATTGTAGAGTTTCTACATATATAGCGCTTGAAAGTTGAATATTTACATATTCAACACCTCAAGGTTTACTAGTACTAAATCCAAACTTCCGTTAATATTTCCGTCAACTTACCGTCCCATCGCTTAGCCGCAGGTAGATCACCCACAGAGGTGAAGCAGCGCCGTCTCTCTCCCCTCTTTGGCCGGCGCACATTTTCTGTCAGAACTCCTGACGTAACTCTACCTGCGGCGGAAGTTATTCTTGAGTTAGTTTCAGGTTATTTCTGGGTTATTATCAATAATCCTGAAATAACCCAAGAATAACTCGCGCTCTTTATTTTTCGGTAATTTCTGGGTTATTTTGGGATTATTGAAAATAACCCAGAAATGACCTAAAAATATCTCAGGAATAACCTCTGCGGCACGTAGAACTACGTCAGGAGTCCACACAGAAAAATTAGGCCTTTGGCCGACTGCCTTCCGGATTCCTGCGTACTCGTCCAACTGCATAGGAACCCAGAGCTGTAGAAGTTCGAATTTAGTAATATTAAACTTTGAGGTGCTAAATATGTAAATATCAAACTTTCAAGTGTTGTTTATGTAAAAACCCCATTATTGTAAATCCATAGAAGATCTTGGGAGATTTGTTGTTTGCTCTTGATGGCATTGGGGAAGACGGTTGAATGAGCTCGAGGTGACGGTCTCAGGGGACCGGCTTCTTCCTTGAATTGGCTTTTTTCGTGATGACATGATTGGACTACTCTTTGCTTGTCGTTGGGACGAGCAGCTGGGGTTGATAGTGCTTCTACCACTCTTGTGATTTATGTAATCTCGTGTTTACTATTTCCGGTCGGTTATTTGTTTTTTCGGTGTGCATTTTGGTGGGCAACGACATGCACTATCCTCCAGCACATCATGCCAAAATCCAAAGAGTTAATTAGCACTTTTTGAAATATGCTGAAAAGATCTACACTTTACGAATGTTTGTGGCAACGACAATTGAGTTGAATAGTTTTCAATGCGTTGACTCAAATTTTAAGCTACGGCCTTGTACATAAGTTGTAGAAATAATGCATTGAAATCAGCTTTTGACATAAATCGATTTGACTTTTAATTAGTTTAACTAATTGATAGCTTTTTTCTATTCAATTTGAAAAAAAATTAATATCTATATCTATATATATATATATATCAAAGGTTATGATAATATCCCAACTCATATTTTTTCATTTTATTTCTAAACTCTTTTCCTAGGCTTATCCACAAGGGATAATCATGCACCAATTTAAATCCTCCTATAAATGTCTAGTAAGAGTATTCATAACTAAAGCAAAAAAGTTTTGGGCTTAAAGCTGATCCTTGATGTAATCCAACAAAAATAAGAAAATATTAGGTCCTAATTTTTATACCCTAAACCCTAAAAGCATTTTTTGAAAATATTTAAAAATAAAATAGTAAATGAAGAGGAGTTACCTTCGATGGTTTCGGGAAGGAGAGGAGCAGAAGAACTAGAAAAATGAGAAGAACTAGAAAAACGAGAGTTTTCATGTTGGGTAATGTGGAGATCCGGTCCATCGAAATTCAATTAGCTTTCTAATTAAGAATCTCACCTACCGCTCACCTACATCCTACCTATTGTTCACCTACTACCTTTTGTTCCCCTCCCACATCCCACCAACCGCTCACCTATCTCCCACCTAAGAGTTAAGAGAAAGAGAGGAAGACAGAGAGAGAGAGAGGGGAAGGGAGAGATGAAAATATAGATTTTCTTGTAAACGTCGAGACGCTCGACGGTGTAACTCCTCGAAGTAGTAAAATCCTATGCAGCTCCATGGACGTAGGCAAATTTGTCGAACCATGTAAATTTGTGTGTCACTTTGGTGATTTGTCTTTGTGCAATTTTTCTCATTCCATTTTTTGCTTTATTGTCGTCGTTTTTTTACAACAACTAGTATTTAAGCTTGGGTTCGAATCTAAGGAAGAACGATGATCGGAGACGAAGTGATGACATCAGGGATCTAGAAGTTCAAAGACACAAATTTTGCTTACGGAATGATGCAGATAAATGACTATCTCTATGGGAAGAAACTTCATCTTCCATTACTGGGAAAGCAACCATAAAAGATGGACGAGGTGGAATGGAATCTGTTGGATTGACAGGTTTTGGGAGTCCGACAGGTTTTGGGAGTCATACGATTAACTCTGTCGAGATCGGTTGCCCACAACGTCATCAAGGAGAAGAATACTGCAGATCTCATGACGGCTTTATCAGGTATGTATGAAAAGCCATTGACGAATAACAAAGTGCATATGAT